GATCTTCCTGGGCCACAGCTTTGTGTGCCCAGCACTGCACTTGGCACATCATTGGTGCTTGGTGAAGTTGAGCCTCTTCCTTCTTGCACTTCCAGAGCTACAGGACTCTATTCAGGTTTTGGACAAATACAATGTATTTTGTGGCATGTGTTTTTGCACCCAAGGATCTTGACCTTCTTTGTCTTAGACTTCCACTTCATTGTAACATAGAATATTGTTCCCATCAGTATGCCTTTCCTATTCACTCTCTTGTGCCAAGTTGGACAGATTCACTTTGTGGGTGACAGCATATCCTGTAAACTGGGGAAGCTATGCTCAGCACTGTTCTTCGATATCACAGAACAGGCCATGAGAATGAAACATGGTTAGTTCGCCTCAAAATAGAATGAAATCAGATTAAACTGAGCGAAATTAAATCACCTTTCCATAGGTCAAAAATGGTCCAATAGTGACAGTTTCATGTTTCAGCCTCAGTTCCACAGACCTTTTAATCCAGTGTTAGATGGTCACTAGTAAATGAATTTAATATTTACAAATGTCTCTAGTAAAGGATGTAAAGCAGCTCCTACATCCTCAGGGAAGGCTTGGATGAGGTAATGAATATAGAAGTACTTTATAGACCATGAACGCTAGGTAAATGCCAAGTTTTTAAAAAATTAATCATGGACATAATTTCATGGTAATATTCTAACCCAAGGACTCTTAATTTATTTTATTTTATTTTATCATAGAGACGTGGGGTGCAATTCAGGATTAGGTACATGGGACTCAAATTTAATATACGTGCAACAGTGAAACTTTTAAAAATTTTAGATAAATTCTGCTGAATGCCTTTCTAATGTGAGATCTTACAAGAGAAAAATCTGTTCTCAGTGTGCTATTTGTTGATTGCTCTGGATATGTTCAGCTGGAGTTAATGTTTCTCCCCAACCCCAAACAAAGGTTGTCTTTGAAGGCCAAAATTGTAGTAAGAGATTGTAAGATATTCAAGTTGTATGTTTGTGTTTGGGAGTGGGGGGTGTCTGGGTGGGGGCTGGGAGAAACGATCACTCAGAAGAGAATAAAGTAGAGCTTGTCAGGCTTGGTTTCATTAAACAGTGCACACAAAGCCTGATCCCATGAGAATGAAGAATTCCTTTGTTTTCAGCCGTTAATTTGTTTCATGAAAATGTGGTCAAAAGTTAGACAAATGTGCGAAATGTGCTCCACTCCGCCCAGAAACTCAGGGCTAATTCTAAACTACTCTAGCAACAGCTCCCTCCTGGTGTAGATGTGAACAGCACAAATGGCAAGAAAGTTTACGCCCCTCCCATCTCACAACCCGAGTGGATGCTCGTCATTAAGCTTCCATATAGTCAGCTTCCCAGGGCAATGGTTTCTAGCTGACTTCTGGGAAAAGTGACTTAGCCACCTATTACTCCGCAGATGAGGATGCCATTTGCCATGCACTCCCCAAACAAAGCTAATCTCTATTACCAGAAGCTATTTGATGCATGAAGAGACTGAAACCAATAACCAACTGCTACTTCGGCATAAACAAACACTTTATAACCCAAGGATGCTCGTGTGCTACAGTCAAGTTTATTTTTTTTCTGCTCAATGTGCATTTTCACAACAAGATGAGCTTGGTTCATCTGCAGCAGCCTCTAAGCAGCTTGTTTACCTAAGGGTTCTCCATCCTCCAAGATGAAACCAAATTATGAGACAAAGAGGGAAATCCGGGGCTTGTTAATGAGGCAGAAGGCAGGTTCAGTGGGAGAGTGAGGGTAGCCAGAAGAACAGGGTTTAGCCATCCACATTTATGAGGAATCATCAAATCAACAACAGGGAGGAGCCTTGTCTGCACTAAGTAGGGAGGATCATCCCGCTAAAGAATATCACTCCCAATAGCAGCTGCACCTTCCCTGCCAGCAGCAGCCGTTGGTGGGAAGACTGCTTTCTTTATTGCTTAATCTATCAATGTTGAGCTGCCTGCCTCAGGGAAGCTCAATTTAAGATAGATTGAAAGGTAGTGTCTGTCAATTGAATAAACACAGATGGTTTTCCACAGCAAAAATTGATTTTTTTCTTCACCAAAGACATAAGCACTAAACATGATTATCTTTGGAAGCCAGGCGTGAAATGTCTCAGCTCCAGCCCCTGCTGCACTCTGCCCTGGCAAAGAGGTGATACCACGTGGGGGCTTGGGTCTCTCTCACGTGATTTTAGGTTATTGAGGTGGAACAAAAATTTGACTTCCCTAGAGAAGGGCTCTGCTAAGTTCTTCCCAGTAAGAAGGTCTGTGTTAACCCATTAGTTGATTCACAAAATAGTTTTACCAGTCATTGGTCACTGGCCAGCAAAGTGTCTCAAAGAAGTAATAAGATTTGCCTAAGGACACATAGCTACATCTAGACCTCCATCTTCGCACCCTGTGTCCAGAAGCTAGAAAGGTTACCAAGCACCATGGCATCATGGTGTTAACTGAAGAAGATGTGAAGATGAGTCCTATTCCCAAAATGTCTTCGGAAGCAAGTAGATCAAAGATGCTTGAATTCAAGTCATGCTAGGTACCCAGAATGTTATGCATGTTAGCAACAAACTAACCCTAGAGTTGTTTATATTCAAGAGTTTTAAAGATAACCAAAGACAGAACTGTGGGGCAGTCATTCATGGTAACAGGTACATGGAGATTGAAGTAGGGTGAATAGGAAGAGTAACCTTTGTATAATGAGGAGATTGAGCAATATGTTTTCTGGTATTTTTTCAGTTCTAACTCCAAAACATAGCAAGCTCATGGAACGTCATTCATGCAAAATATTCCAAGGAAACCCTAGAAGCAATAGAAAGGGCTGTCTTCTTTCATATTGCTAATGTGAACAGTATAGACTAGTAGTTGAAGGATTTCCAAAGAGTCATTGTTGCAAGGGTAACAAAGGTAGAACAACCGTGGGAACCAGTGGGATACAGAAATACTGTAGAGACAGAACTAGAGACAATGAAGAAACTCAGAGGATTTTAGTGATACATGGGATCTTAGCATCGTTTTCTCTGTCTAGAGATGAAAACAAGAGTCTAGAGAAGGGAAATTGATAGCCAAAGTCATATAGCTACAGGCAGAATTGAGTTGTCAAGCTCAAAACCTTGGTTCTTTCATCTACACTATCTGTCTTGCTTTTCAAACTGTGCAATGTGATTATGGTCTATCAGGAAAGCAGGTGTGTACAGTACATAAGCGCATGTAGCAAGCAGAAGTGAAAAGGTTTCACTCCAGTACACAACTGTAAACACAGATCACAACTATCTTAGTCCTCACTCCTGAAGCTCTGTAGAGAGTGTGCACATCCTTGAATCAAGAGACAAGAGTCTTTTCATATGTGCCATGTAGAAATGAGAATTGACTGTTTCTATGATACCCGGCTAAAGAAAACCTGAGCTAAAACTGTCTGGGGCTGTAAGGGATATACAGTAAACACGTTTGCAGGATTTGGATTTATTTGAAAGTAAGCTAACACGTTTGTAACCTGTCAGGATTGGCCTGATTTTGAGTAAAGACAAACTTGATTCAAGGTTTCTAAAGTAAGGTAGTCAAATCATTTTAGAGCTAACTATACTCAGAAGAAGAAAAATATTTCAGTCCTGTCTTTTTCTGTACATGGGCTCTTTCATAAATACTCTTCTTAAGTAGAAACAAGTCTGTAGCTGTTTTTCAAAAAGTTCTTTAAGTTAAGACCTCTGTAACTTTCTTACACATATTCAGATGCATGTTAGTGAAATTTTATTCATTTCTTCCCACAAACTTTAGGAAAAGCTTACATTAAATGTAAATATGTTTTTATTTCCACTCAGATACAATCCTTTCTTATATTGAAACTATCTCAATGTAGCAAAGACAGCTAAATCTAAGTAAATACACTTGGTTCAAGATTTGTACACCAAGAATAAATGCTGTATTTTATACATTTATAAATATTTGATGAATTGATAACATGATCAATTTTTCCCCAAAAGGAGTTCTCTTCTATGGTGAAACAGCACTCTAGACGATTAAAACTGGATAGCAGCAAACAAGACTTACAACGAGTGAGCATTCAGTGTGAGATATCACTCACAGCCCCACATAGATCTTTATATATGTGTCGATGTGTTTGGTTATATTTTTTGCCTTAAATTTAGTATTGAGTGTTTCTCCTAGTACTCAGTAACATCTTTTTAACAAATCAATACTGAGGGAATTGTTTTATATTAAACTGGCTTCCAGTGTTATCAATATATGGGGTTCTTTCACAGAGTTGAATTATTTTCATGTTAAGAGTGTAAATACTTTCTTAAGTGTTTCATGTAGAGATGGTTTTGTGGCTGCATAAGTTCTTAGGGATTGGATATCTGGGAAAGATTTTAATTCTCCCTCACTGATGAAGCTTAGCTTGGCTGGGTAGGTTATTCTTGGTTGAAATTGTTTATCCTTTAGGACTTTGAAGATAGGGCTCCAAGCTCTCCTAGCCTGCAGGGTTTCTGCAGATAAATCTGCTGCTATTCTGATTGGTCTTCCATAGTGGGTGATCTGGCCTTTTTCTCTTGCTGCCTTTAGGATTTTTTCTTTTGTGCCTACTTTATTTAGGTGAATTATTATGTGTCTAGGAGTTGGTCTTCTCATTTGTTGTCTTGCGGGGGTTCTCTGAATCTCTTGTGTTTGAATTTTTGTATCACTGATTAGATAAGGGAAATTTTCTTGAATGATCTCGTGGAAAGTTTGTTCCGAATATCACATGTTCTCACTCATATAATGGACCTTGAACATCCAATGCAATACTATGAGAAAATGACGGATGGTACTGGGAAACTATGGGGGGGAGGGGGATGGGATTAACAGTAGCAAATATATATCGGGGGATGGGAAAACACTTCTTATCTACAGGGTGCCTGAATGAAACGTCATTGTACACCTAACCCTTAACTGTACCCCACAAAACCATAATAAAAAATACTGATTAATGAAAAAAAAAAAGAGTGTAAATAAAAGTTGTTCCTTGGTTTGTGTATTACAGATATTCCTGAAAAAAATTAGTCAGGTTGTATTTTTAAAGCACTAGCATCTGCTTAAAGAAATGACAAGGTGAAGTCTTTCACAAAGTAAACATTCAGTGTATGCCTTCTCTCCTATATAAATCTAGTTATTCACAAAGTTTCTATGACTTAATTAGCCACAATTATGTATCAGGGCTTGATGTTTAACATAATTTCCTACTTGTTCCCTTTTCTAAAAACAGAGGGAGGTTTGCTCTACATCAGAAGAAACATTCACAAATTGAAATGTTAAACTTAAGACTTGATGGCTTCCTTTGAAACAAGATAGCGATACATTTGGGCACCACCTACATGAGCATTCTGAAGGGTCTTTGAAGGGTACAGAGATAACAACAGATGTAAGAATTCCTGACCAGCCTTAAAGCAAAACCAAGATTTCTTGGGGGGAGGAGGAGCAAAGCCAAGGGTCAGTCTAGACATACCCCTCGTGACAGATGTTTCCATTGATGAGGCTAAAAGTGGCCACGGAGGGGTTGGTACTCTTGAAGGAGGTCATGCAGGTGGTACTTCTACCTGTGCTGTGAGACCGGGTTATGAGGCCAGGCCGGCAACAGAGAAGCTGGGTGTTGAACTGTTTCCTGAAACTCTTGCTCAGCAGGTAGAGGGCAAAGGGGTTCACGCAGGAGTTGGTGAAGGCCAGGAGGCGAGCACAGATGCTGGTGACGAAGTGAAGCATGGAAGTATCCACCTCAGAGTAGTGGTAGGAGCGGTACAGGTAGATGACATGATTGGGGAGCCAGCAGAAGGCGAAGAGGCCCACAAACACCAGCACTGTCTTGGCAAGTCGCTTCCGGGATTCGATCTAAGGAGAGAGTCACATGGAGAGAGACAGAGGGACTCTTAACAAGTGTAAGAGGAAAGCAAGTGTAAGAAGAAAGACTCAGACGAAAAAGGGATGGGGAAAAACAATTAGGAAAATAGATGAGCTCACGAAGCCACAGAAAAACAGTTCAGTGGGAAAGGGCAAAAGAGAATCCGATAAAATGAGAGAAAAGTGACAGAAACAGACAGAAAAAGAAAAATAAAGAGTCAGAAACACAGAGATGAATAAGCCAAGAAGCAGAAATCCACAAAGTAGAATAGAGTTAGAACATGCTGTTGAGAACAGATCTTTAAACAGTTTATTACGTGTTTGAATGGATTGTACAATGAAATTCTAGTAAGTGCCCTCTTTTTCCTCAGGAGAGCGTTGGTGCAATTTATCAGCCATATGACTTCATGTCTTTCTTTGCTTTGTTGTTAATAATTTCTTATTCCCTTTGATACTCAACAAAGCAGCCAGTTTTATTTTTCCTCATTGGCCAGACCAAGATAACTCTCTATTATTATTATTATTTTCTAATCTTAAGTTATTTCTGGACTATACTATACAGGAAGGGTCTTAGACAGAGAGAGACAAACATCTTTTGCTCTTAACTCTCTCTACTACCTCAAGGGGAAACATGTTTCTCATGAAAGAGTTTGGGGATAATGAAAATTTGCTACTGAGAGGCCTTTCAAGTAGAAAGGTGGTTTCACTGAGATTTGCCACTCTTCCCCTGCAATTAAGGAGAAAAATACAAAAATAAGCTTTAAAGGGCAAGGCTTCCAAGTAAGTCAGTTATTCATTTAAATAGGGTGGGGAGTCATTCTACTTTTCCATGTAAATGCCACATGATCTACAGCTGGACTAGAAAGCAAGGAGAACTGGCAAAGGGGAGAAAGCCAGAGCCTTGGTTTCTACCATTCATAACTCAAGGATGAAATTATGGGACCTCTGGGGGATGGGAGAGGGAGTTTAATCATATGGAGACATCCTACATGCTGGGCACTATACACCTTACATATGCTGTCCCTCTTCTAATCCTCTAATAGCATTACAGTATAAGGATTATTAGCCTATTTCATAGATAAGAAAACTGGACTCAGAGAGGGTGAGTACATCATGAAGCCTGGATTTGAGCCCAAATCAATGTGAACCTATCTTAATCAAACTACTTGTTTTTCTTCAATTGGCCTCATTTTCTGGCCCCCTCTGCTTTGTCCCCATGTAGTAACCTTCTTCCTAGCCAATGTGATTGGCATTTTAAAAAGCTACATCGCCTATGTATCTCAATGTTTACCTCTCTTAAAGAAAACAATCCATTTTCAGATATTTCTCAAAAAAAAAACCCCACTCTCCAAATCTTTCAGGTTCTCAATCCCTCCCTAGCTTAGGTTTTTAACAAGAGAATAGGATTATAAAGACCACCTGAATTCCCAGGCTTTGGTGGCTAGAAGTTTCCATTTATCATCTGGCTGCAGATCACTCACCTTCTCTGATTGCAGAATCAAGTGACACGACCACCTAAATACTGTATTTGTCAGTGGGTTCCAAAAGAAATACAAGGGACCAAATCCCCCAAAGAAAGTAATCAACCCTAAGCACCCACCTGCTTCTTGACATGTATATTTCCTTCCACAGGAAGATTGTAAGCACTCTGGATCAGATTTTTGGCAATGAAGTAGTAGTAGACAGAGATGATTGACAGTGGGATGATATAGAAGACCAGAAAGGAAGCCATGGAGTGAATTTTGGGATGTAACTCATTAGAATGTGGGTATGGGGCACAGCTAATGAAGGTCTGGTTGGTGCTTTCCTCGTGGAAGGGGTGGAGATCAGAAAACACAGCCTCTGGGATGGCCAACAGCATGGAGATGACCCAGATCAAGGCAGCTTTGAGGCAGATCTTCATCAGGGCATGAGAGGCCTGGATATCCATTGGCCGGACGATAGCTTTGTACCTAGGGCAGGAAAGAGGGAACCCCATCAGTTGCCTAATTATATTCTGGATGCCAGGGCAGGACTACGGTGAGACAAGTGAGACACCTGGGGTGCAATATTTAAGGAGGGCCTCACTCTCAGGTTCATGAGGATGCTAGGTCTGAGCTCAATGATTCTGACACTCCACTTGCTGCACCCTAATCTGGTCCTGAAGGATGTCTCCTTTCTCCAGAAGTGCCCTTCTGCCCACATTCTCTTTTTTTCTCTCTTAGTTTGGAGCAGAATTTTTTAAAATTTATTTTTCTAAAATTGACAAGTAAAATTGCATATATTTACTGTGCACAACACGATGTTTTGAAATATGTATACATTGTGGAATGACTAGATTGAGCTAATTAGCATATGCATTACCTCACATACGTAAGGTATTTTGTGGTGAGAACATTTAAAATCGACCCTCTTAGTGATTTTCAAGAATACAATATATTGTTGTTAACTACATTCACCATGTTGTACAATTCATACTCTCTATTGATTTTAAGAATACTTAGAAAAACTGAAGCTCCTTTCATTTTACTTCTTAAATCATAAAAATTAATAACAAAGCATGTTACTGCTTAAAGGACACAGGGACAAGAAAGTTGGTTTTTTTTGTGCAAAACTTTCATTTTGAGTATTCAAATACACTTCAGGGAACCTTAAGTCATTGAGCGTTTTAAGTATGCCTCTTCTCTCTTTCAAAAGATGCATAATGCATGGTCCACTAAAAAGATTATATCCAGAAGGATCCCCATAATTGTCAAATTGATCTTTTCCTTGCTTTCTATTCTCAGCCTTATCTTCTCTTAAAGTATTTAGGTCCTTCCTGGTTTGTAAGCTATTTGTGCTCCTGTATTAGATTGAATGCTCTGGGGAGCAGGCACTGAGATGAATGAAGTAAAAAGTACAAAAGTTTTTGGGGGGAGTAATACTTATGAAAAGAAAAAGGGTAGGGAGTAGGACTGGGCAGACCTTAATGGAGACCTGACCAGGTCTGTACAAGCAAGGGTGACTAACCATTCTGGTTTGCCTGGAAATTTCTCAATTTGAGCAATGAAAGTCCTACATTCTGGGAAAATCTTCAGCCCCAGAAAATGGGGCAGCTAGTCACCCTACACCAGTCCACTGGAAAGTTTGAGAGCAAAGATTGCCCAATGGAAGGGTCCTGCTTTGAGTGGAAATGGCCAGGCTCTGTGTAATCACCTTACTTAATCATTGACTGGGGTCACCCCAGAAGTGTGTGATCTCAGTTGCTACCAGGCTCAGCCCCTGGGAGGGAATCACCCAAGAGAGGATGATCACAACTTGAAAGCTGAAGTGGACCCCAAAAAAGCTGCTAGCTTAAGGCTTTAGCTAACCACACGTGCTGCAACTGAGTGAGTCTCTTCTTCAAGGGAGGTCTGAGCAGTACATCTCCATGTGTGCACATTGTCGATAAATGCCTAGCACAGTGGGCCACAAGACTAGGGCACAACTATCTTGTCTCATAATCCACTAGAGGATGGGCTTCAATTGTTCAATTGTACATGAGCTACTATAGTGTAGAAGTTGCTGAGTTGGGACAAACTACATGTGAAGGTACTCATTGCTGAAAATGCTGTGTCCAAACTTGGTTTCACCTATGATATTTCTTTTTTCTTTCTTTCCTTTTTTTTTTTTTTTGAGTCGGAGTTTTCACTCTATCATCCAGGCTGGGGTGCAGTGGCACTCTCACAGCTACTGCAGCCTCGACTTGCTGGATTCAGGTGATCCTTCCTCCTCAGCCTTCCAAGTAGCTGGAACCACAGGCGTGCACCACGATGCCCAGCTAATTTTATTTTATTTTATTTTATTGTGGAGACGAATTCTTGACAAGTTGTCCAGGTTGGTCTCAAACCCATGGACTCAGGCAATCTCTTGCCTCTGCCTCCCAAAGAGCTGGAATTACAGGCATGAGCCACCATGCCACTTGATATTTCTTTATGTCATGGACAGCACACGGGGCAGGGGAGGGGACACTTATTTCTACTTGCTTCTATGTTGATTAGACCTCTATTGAGTTACCACTCTCGGCTGCACCCCAACTCCTCATTCAATTTCCTCCTCCCACTGGGGAAGAAGGAGTGAGTTATTAAGTGGCCAGTTTGGAAAAGAGAACCTGGCATGTATATTGTACTCAGGAAGGTCTATGGTTGTCTAACAGTCCCTTGTCTAGGAGAATGGCATGTCTAAGATAGGAGACAAGAGAGTGTCTGCAAATTCATTATTGCTGTAGACCTAAGACACATTCCCCAAACAGCTCTGTCAGACATAGAAGCAATTATTTTTATTGTTGTCTGTCTGATTTCTTTATCTAGCTCTCTGTTCCCAACTTAGGTCGGGAAGAGAGGGTTATTATTTATTGGACACCACCAAACCCCAACACTCCAGAACAACACTACAGTCCTGTTTTAGTATACCTGGGTTTGCTTTCATTTTAAACAATTACAAACAAACAAAAAAAAAATTGGAAAGTTCTAGCCTCCTCTGATATTGTCTTTATTCATTAGCTATTATAAACATTTTCCTAGCTTAGAATGTTTTCATGAAATTAACATCTTTAGTTAAAGTTATGTGAACATCTTCAGCTAAGATGCATATGACTAAGGATATCTCTAATAAATTTGTTAGAGATAAAAATTTTTTTAGTTTTGAGTCCAAGTCTCACTCTGACACTCAGATAGAAGTGCAGTGGCACAATCATGGCTCACCTTCTGGGCTCAGGTGATCCTTCCACCTCAGCCTCCCAAGTAGCTGGGATTACAGGCCTGTACCACCACACTTGGCTCTTTTTTTATTTTTTGTAGAGATGAGGTGTCACTATGTTGCTTAGGCTGTTCTCAAACTCCTGGGCTCAAGCAATCCTCTTGCCTCAACCTCCCAAAGTGCTGGGATGACAGGTGTGAGCCACTGCATCTGGCTAGAGATAAAATGGTAACTATGATGTTTATCTGCAATTTCTGGCAGATGACAACCATAACTACCATTAACTCTCAGAGTAAAGATGAGTCACTCAGTCAGAAACCAAAATGAATGGCTTACCTCCTTCTCTCTTGAAAATCTTGTGTTCCTAGGTGCAAAATGCCATGGGAGCTAATGAACTGCTATTTCAAATTCATAACTTTTAAAACATTTCTTTTATAGTTTTGCCAGAAAAAATAATTTGAATTTAGGTCTAATTAGGCCTCTAGATTTATGTACCAGTTGTCAGGAAATATGAGGATAGAAGAACCTGCTAAATGATGCTATGAGAATATAATCAGTCAAATTCGGAACTGGAAAATTCTACAAGAATAATGATCCCATTTTTTCTACAAATACATGTCATAGAAAAGCAGGGTGAAGTGACTAAAATGTGTAAGATGTATCAACCAGATGCAATATATGGACTTCTTTTGGATTTTGATAAAAAGATATTTTTGAGACTATTGAAGAAAATCAAATATAAATTGATGATATCAAAGAATTACTTTTAATGTATTGAGTGTGATAATGGAATTATGGTTATGTGTTTCTTAAATGACCTTGTTTATTAAAGATACATGCTGGGTGGCTCCTGTTTAGGAGTGATGGTTGGCTGGACTGGAGTGGACACCTGATCTAAACCAGCTAATGAACTGTCTGGCTGGCTACTAAAGAGTATCTCCTTTGCTAGGGGAGGGAGGGGAGCACATGGCAACACACTGGTTACCTGGTCCACTTTCAGGGGAAGCGAGGACCTGTCAGAAGCCCAAACTTCACCTGTATTCGGCCTACTTATGTAGCAAATCCTCATTTGTACCTCACAACTTTAAAATAAAATAATTTTTTTTAAATTAAAAAAATTGTTTAAAAAACTTCTCTTTTTCTTAAGTATTTAACTTGAAAAATAGAGATAATGTAGTTAATGATAGATGCTGAAAATAAGATATTTTAATGTCAAGGAAAAGATTAAAATAGCCATATTTTAACCACATACAAGATGAATAAGCAGAGTACCTGAATTGAGAGAGAAAAAAAGAATGAGGCAGACATAAGAGGAGAAGCTGCAATGGTGTCATACAGAGAGTATGGCTTCTGAATGTACAAGAGATCTTCTGTTATAATCTTACAATATCCCCTTCCTCTTTTCACTTGAGTTAGTTTGAGTGGCTTCTTCCTTGCCAACAAAAGAGCCTTATCCAGAACAATTAGATATGATGGCCATTTAAAGTTATAAGATTTATTTCCAGGATCATTTTACATATATCATCCCCCATTTGCTGCCCTCTGAAAGCATGAGCTGTCAATTTTCAATTGTACCTGAGAGACAGACTAGTCTATGCCCCGTTCCTAAATTCTTCATTATTTTCCTGCTTCCCTCCTTTCTTCAAGCCCAATCCTCGACCCTCCATTTATCTGAATCCAATCCTTCCAAATTGAAGTATCATCTTGATGATACTTTTGCTGACCAAGATAGGCCTTAATAATTCTCATTTTTTCATCCAATCTGTCTGACCTGTATGAAGATTATCAACTCCTCTCATTTTCTACTTACTCTGTGCTATCTTAAACTGTTTGCTAGCTTTCTGTGAGTATGACTTCTCTATCTGACTTTTTCTTAACTTCCCTGAGGTCAGAAACTTACATCTTCTCTACTTCTTTCTGTATTACTAAAAATGCCCCAGATTCTTTGCTCTGCAAATAACTTATTTCAAAGTAGGGCTCAGCAAATGCTAATTAATTGATGAGTAATATGTAACTTGCAGATGTGTCTGTTATTTCCATCTTCTCACAAATGAGAGAAGATTCACTTTTACACACTAAGTCAGTAAGAATCATTCTTCCATAGACTGACTAATTCACTACTTTGATCATATAGGACTCAAGACAATTGTTTCCCACTTCTGAAAACATCTGTGCTTTATTTTTCTTATGCAAACATTCATTGGAAAAGTCAAAAAATGTTCTCCATGGCAAGATTAATGTGTCAAAGAGATTCTTG